TCTTCCTATTTCACATTATCAGTTATATAATTTGAACCTTATTTACACTCTCACTTTTTCACACCAGAGAAACTATTTGGTATTTACACATGGTGTCCTATTTATTTCACTTAAGACTGCTTAGTGGTTCCACCACCTGCCTCACAAGTGCAAGGACCCAAGTTCAATCCCCAGTACTCCACACCCAAAAAAGAGTATGGCTTCAATATGCACCCATTTTCCTGTGAATGACTAGTTTCTCATTCTTTATGGCTAAGTAGTACTCCCTTTTATAGAAAAACCACATCTTCTTTATCCAGTCTCCAGTTGATGGGTTCTTGGCCTGTTTCCAAGTTTTAGCTATTACAGACTGTGCCACTGTAAACATGGGTGTGCATTTATCACTGTGGTATGATTCTTTTAATTCTTTTGGAAAGATACCCAGAAGAGGATTAGCTGGGTCAAATGGGACCTCTAATACTAGTTTTTTGAGGTATCTCCATATTGATTTCCACAGTGGTTGCATCCTGGTGCCCAGTATTTTTGTTTAACATAATGTCTCCTATGTTCATACATGCTGTCTCAAATGACAGAATTTCCTTTTTAAAGGCTGAACAGTACTTTATTGTGTATATATACTATATTTCCTTTATCCATTCATCCATTGATGGACACTGGGTGGTAAATTTTAAATTGTGTGGTATTTTAAAAATCACAATTCAAAAAAGAAAGAATCAGAGCTGGGTATGATGGCACATGCCTATAATCGCAGCCCTCAGGAGGCTGAGGCAGGAGGATCACCATGAGTTCAAGGCCAGCCTGAGCTACATGGCAAGACCCTGTCTCAAAAAAAAAAAATCAGAAAAGGTTATGGACATGAAGTGTAAACATGGCTAGGGAGAGAGGTGATGGCTGAGAGAGAAAGTAGTGGCAAACAGAACTTTTCAGAATCACTGTTAAAGAAGAAAATCTCTAGTTCAAATTTAGTGGGCACTTCCTATCTTCCCAGTACCATGCTAAAAGTTATATGAGCCAAATTATCTCTTTTCATCCTCAAAACAGCCCTTTGAAATAGCTAAGATTGTTGTCCCCATCTTTGGAATGAGGCAGTTGAGAATAAAAATAATAAAGTCAATCAAACGTTGGGCTGGAGATTTAGCTCAGTGGTTCCGCCACCTGCCTTGCAAACTCAAAGACCTGAGTTCGATCCCCGGTACCAAAAAACAAACAAACAAACAAAAAGTCAATCAAATGTTTTTCTGCCGATGTGCCCTGCTTCCTTCAAACCAGTTTTCAAAGAGTGTCCTCCTCTCTTCCAAATCTGTCGGGAGCCAGGCAAATACAGACCTAGGGTCTGCAAAGCCTACATCCATCCAGGGAAAGAGCAACAAGTGACTGGTGGGAAGTCAAGGAACTGAAAGACAGCAGAAGCCTCATCTGGCAGCCTGCTCCTCCTCTGCACTGGCAATGGACCCCGATTTAAGACTCAGGAGCCAAACCAAGGGGAACAGCCGTCCCTACGCTCCCAAACCCTGCAAGCCACCTTCCAAGGTTGAGCTCTTGGTCCCAAAGCCTTAGTGCGCCTACATCCATACATCCTGTGTCTTGTGGCTGTGTAGCTCCTTCCACTACAGTGGAGTACACTGTCCTACCCCACTGATGCTGCGTTAGGCATATGAGTTACTTTGCTCAGTGGAAACTGGGTAAAGGTGACAATGAGCCAATTCCAAGCTAGGCCACAAGGGTTTGTCCTCTTGCCCCTCTGCCATCGCAATAGAAAAGAGGATATAAGAAGATGGAAAGACATCCCCTGCTCCTGGGTAGGAAGAATCAGCATAGTGAAAATGACCATACTTCTAAAACTGCTGTACAGATTCAATGCAATATCGATTGAAATCCCAAAAGTATAATTCACAGAACTTGAGAAAACAATCCAAAAATTCATTTGGAACCAGAAGAGACCTAGAATAGCAAAAACCATTCCAGGCAACAGAGACATGGCAGGGGTTTCAAAATTCCCAACTTGAAACTATACTACAAAGCCACTGTGATAAAACAGCATGGTACTGGCAAAGAAACAGACCCAAGGATCAATGAAATAGATTAGAAGATAAAGAAACAACACCAGACATACTCAGCTACCTCACCTTTGACAAAGGAGCCAACCATCCTCACCGGAGGAAAAGATAGCCTCTGTAATAAATGGCATTGGAAAAACTGGTTTTCAACTTGCTAAAGATTAAAACTAGATTCCTATCTTTCACCATGTCCTAAACTAAAATCCAAGTGGATTGAATATTTAAATGTCAAAACAGAAATACTAAACTTACTGGAAAGTAAGTCTCTCCAAGACCCTGGCATAGGAGAAGACTTTATGAACAAATCCTCAGCACAAGAACTTGCACAAAGAATCAACAACTGGGATCTCATTGTACTAAAAAGTTTTTGCAGTGCAAGATAAATCACCAACAGAGCTAAGAGACAACCTACAATGTGGGAAAACAATTTTACCAGCTACTCCTCAAAGGACTACTATTTAGAATATATGAAGAACTCAAAAAAATTCCCCAAAATACAAAACAAAAACAAAAACCCCAAACACAAAGACCCGATCCAAAAATGGGCATCTGAGATGAACAGACACTTCTCAGACAAACAAGTAAAAGCAGCAAATAAATATATGAAAAAATGTTCAACATCACTGGCCATTTGAGAGATATGTGAAAACAACACTGAAATTTTCACCTCACCCCAGAAAGAATGGCTGCTATGAAGAAATCAGCCAATAACAAATGCTGGCGGGGCTGTGGGGAGAAAGGAACCCTTCTCTATTGGTGGGAGTGCAGACTGGTGCAACCACTGTGGAAATCAATATGGAGATACCTCAAAGAACTAGGATTAGAGGTCCCATTTGACCTAGCTATCCCTCTGCTGGGTATCTTTCCAAAAGAATTAAAAGAATCACACCACAGTGATATACATGTACCCACGTTTATAGCAGCACAGTTTGTAATAGCTAAAACTTGGAAACAGCCCAATTGCCCATCAATTGGAGGCTGGATAAAGATGTGGTTTTTCTATAACATGGAGTACTACTCAGCCATAAAGAATGAGAAACTAGAAACATTTATAGCTAAATGGATGCACATTGAGGCTATACTCTTAGGTGAAATAAATAGGACACATGAGTAAATACCGAATAGTTTTTCTGGTGTGAAAAACTACAAATGTAAATAAGGTTCAAATGGTATAATTGAGAGTGTGAAATAGGTAGAAAGTAGTTAAAGGGGAAGTGGAAAGTGGAGGGGAAAGGAAAGAAGGGAAAAGAAAAAATATGAGAAAAGGAATAAATGGAAACAAAGTCTTTGTAAATAGGGAGGGGTGAAGGGGGTGAAGGGAGGGCAGGAGTGTGGGGAAAAAACGAGAACCAAGACATCATGTAAAGGTACCAGATCCCAGTGATAAATGTAACTGGATTGTTTGCTTTAAATGCACCAATAAACGTAATGGGGAAAAAAGAAGAAAAAAGAAAAGGAATGAGAGATCCTGAAGGTACAGTGGGATGACAGAACTTTCTTCTGCTGCTACCCAACAGCACACGGAGCGGTGAAAACGCCTCATCCCTGGGAATAGGTAACAGTTGCCGCTTCAACAGGACACTGACCTCGAGAGCTCGATGAGCATCTCCGCCTCCACTGGGTCCAGGCCCTGCTTCCTTCTATCCAGAGATGGAGCGGAGGATACCTGAAGGCTCGTAAAGTAACTAGGACAACTGTTTTTGTGGCCAAAGGTCATCGAGATGACAGAGAAGCTGTGGAGAACCATAGATCCGCCCCTCCGCCATTTTATGACGTAGCCTATGAAGCCATTTTGTATTAGGTTTAGTTTTCCTGTAGATCACATGATATGTTCCCGTGGGTGTTTGATGTATCCTTATAAGGTAATAATCTGTTCTCCGTATGCTGATTGGTTGCATTATGGTATATATGTTGCCACCCCTTCTAGGCGCGGAGAGAGAGAGCGGGGTAGAGATCCGGAGATGAGGAACTAAAGTAAATTCCTTGTGTATCAAGTGTGTGCCTCTTTGCTCACGCGTCGCCAGTTCAGGCCCCTGTAGTCGCAGACCGAGTTGCCCAAGGCAATCCGGCTCGCAACAGAAGCCAAGCATAGCGGCACACGCCTATAACCTCGGCACTTGGGAGGCTGGGGAAGGATGTTTTAGGTCCTGAGTTTTAGGTCATCCCGGGCTACACAGAAAGATCCTATGCATCAAAAAAAAAAAAAAAAAAAAAAAAAAAAAAAAAAAAACCAGAAACAAACAAACAAAAGGATGACAGAAAAACTTGTGAAAGAACTGAGAATTCAGCAGCTACAGTGCTAAGACCCACCCAGAAAAATACATGATTCCGAGAGAAAAGTCGTTCTTGGAGGAAATAATTCTGGAGGAAGCCTGCAGGATGAGCATACAACTACTGTTACACATATTTAAGAATGCCTGAGGGTGTGGGGGCCGAGAGTCCTCCTGAATGCCAAGGGTCTGCAACGGCCCCTGCTAAGAATCCAACACAACTATCAGGAGCAGAGCCCGAGATGTTCACCACGCCGATGACCACGCAGGCCTGCAAAGTACAGTCCACGGGCTTCAAGCGTTCTAGGGCACTCTCAGGTGTTTTTAAAAATTATCGGCAAAGTTCACCTTAATGCACTGAGATTTAAGAACCAAACCACATCCACAGGATGGCTTGGCAATGCCCATACGTGATCTCATTTAGCCCTCAGCAGTCACCATGTGCCACCGTTTACCAATAACCCAAGCTCGAGCGGCTCCAGGACCCCGCCACACTGTCAAACACATGTTTTCATATTTAAACTCGTTATTCCTGGAGGGCAAGGATGGTGACAGGTGTATCACATAACCCAGGAGCTGGGCCCAGGCGGGCTAGGGATCCATGGAATTGAGTTGCCGGCCCCAATTCAGCATCGTCCTTCAACTATGGCCCTCTAGTCTCAGATGGGTGCCTCAAAGCGCAGTTCATCCCACAGCCTGTTAGGGCTGCAGTAGTAACACGGGGCGCCTGCAACACGAAGGCCAGCAGCCTCTGAGTGAGAGAGCTTTCTTGCCTCCGTCCCAAACTTGTCTGTCCCAAACTCAAGTTTTGTAACCATGCCTGAGAGAGCTATAAAAGAGTCCCAAGGACCTTTGTCAGTGGATCAAAATAAAATTCTCATACCTTCTGGCCAGCCCGAAGTCAATGATTTTAATTTGGTGTCCCGTCTGACTGACACACAATATGTTCTCCGGCTGGAAAAGAAAGAGAAGTCTGCTTAGCCCAGTTAACAACCAAGGAGATCTGCAGCTGCCACACGCCCAGGTATTGTTTCAATATGCCACACCTGCAAGCTTTAGTTTCCTGCCTCCATTTCCAACATACGGCTCAGGCTGGCCCTGGCGCTTAGATAGATAATTACAATAAATACATCCGGGTGTGAGACCAGAGGATCCCTGTGGCCTGTGGGCACTGGAGGACTCCTGCCCTGTGTCCCAGGACAGCCACTGCTCAGTGCCAGCTGCTGGTCGGCATGCAGGAGTGCAGGCACCATAGCCATTTTTCAGTAATACGGGGAATCCAGAAATGCAGTTTTTCTGTGTGCATGAAAATTCATGCTTTTAAATGTTAGCGACCAAAACAAATTTAAACATACCTGTATTGCTGTGGAAGCTAAACCGAAAACCTCTACGGTGACTGGGCTTGGGGCAATGGTCCCCAGTCCCAGCGATACTTGAAGATCGTCAGGGAAGTTTTAAAAGTCCCTGGGCCTGGGCCCCAACCCTGACCCACGAGAGAATCACACCAGTAAAACCAAAGCATCACTGGCCTGGTGCAGGAGAGTAGAGCTGCTAAATGTCTACCTGCCATTTTGTAGTGACAGCTGTGACCTACAGGGCGGGTGGCCTTGACAGGTTCTTCTTTTAGGGTCTTTCAGATCAACTCTGATGCCCTGAAAGAGGCTGAAACAGTACTTCCTGCTTCTGCTCGACAAGCTGGAGTGTGGGGTGTGGAGATGGAAGGTTCACGATAGAAAAATCCCAGGGACCTAGAATCCAGGGCCTGAAGTCCAGGGATCTATGACCTAATCCTGTAGCCCTCAATGAGGCCCCTTCCGTTCCCAAACCTCAGCGTCTCCAGCTTTACAACGGGAACAGTAACACTTCTTGCCTGTCTTTCTGGGAGGGTGGGAGGGTCAAGTGATGTAACGTATATGACATACTTTGTAGCCAACAAATGTAAGGTACTAATCTTCCCAACAGAAGATGTGCTTATGTTTATGCAACAAAGGGGTTATGCAAATTCCTCAGGTACAAAAGAATGGTATTTAAAAATCCAGGGTTTGAAGGGTGAAGAGAGGACAGGGGTATGGGGAAAAAATAAGAACCAAGACATTTGGTACAAGATTCCAATGATAAATGTAACTGGATTGTTTGCTTTAAATGTACCAATAAGCTTAATGGGGAAAAAAAGTAAAAACCCATGTTTTTGGGCCAGGGATTTAGCTCAGTGGTGCTGCCCCCTGTCTCGCAAGTGCAAGGTCCTGAGTTCGATCCCCAGTACCCACCCCCCAAAAAGATCCATGTTTTTTTTTTTTTTTGGTACTGGGGATTGAACTCAGGTCCTTGTGCTTGCAAGGCAGGCCACCGAACCACTGAGCTAAATCCCCGGCCCAAAATCCATGTTTTTTGACACAGGGTCTCGGTATGAGTTTCTGGCAGGCCTCAAACTCATAGTGATCCTCCTGCCTCAGCATTCTGAGTGCTGGGATTACAGGTGTGCACTGCCATGCCTAGTGAAAAATCTCTATGCCTTCTTTATCAGGTACAGAACAACACTAATAGGGATATATATACATATA